TTTGGTATGGTGTATGTATTAGCGGCAACGCTGTGACTACAAGAGACTATAAAGTAAAATGAGAGATGATGTAGGGGGAAAGTACGAGAGACGACAGTTTAGAAGTAAATAAATAACAGAGATAAGTGAATGTGTGTTATACAAAAATTAAACCTGAAGAAACTTGATGTTGTAACATTAACTTTAACTACTGAAGTATGCGACTTTGCCTAAATCTAGCAACTTATCCATAAGTCCTGTGTTCGGAAGAAAATAGATGTATAAATGTTGTAGTTGGAGCAACTAGGAATGACCAGTTGATCTAGATAGCTCTACCCACATCAACAGTTTCCAAACTTAACAAGTTTGGAATGAGAAATAACTTAATGCTCGTTTAGAAGCACACGATCAATCAGTCGGAACGAAGACGAAGAGATTGGGTAAATGACGGTTGTAAACTTCGTTTTATTCTTGAGTGTACATTATTATCCCAACAAATATTACCACCCTGTTATTTAGCCAATCATTGTTTAATCATTAGTAAAATCTAAATTATAATAAAAAGATAAATTGACAAGGGATATAAAAGAATTATCAAGTGCAACAAACTAATTTTCCTATCAACACAAAAGTCTTATTTTATCCTTTCTGGATAAATCACGTTCAGACTGTTCCAAAGATAATATGTAATTTTGTTATACACAAATTGTTTCCAGTTCTGGAATAGTGCTTCAATTCATAATGAAAATTGCCTAATCCTAGTCAGTTAGAGCGAATCAGTATGATAATCATCATAACCAAAATCAACTCAAAAAGTATAGATGTACTTCAGAAAAAGTATAATAATTGAGTAATGTCTTAAGAAAAACGAAAACTATGTTAGAACATAAATATTACTATCTCAAACAGAATCAAAAGATCAACTACATTTACACCCATAGGAATCAAAGAGAATAAATCACATGAATGTCTATGTGGAGAGATTTTTATGTGCAAACCTTTCGAAAAGGATCTTAAAACTGCAAAGTGGTTTAAACCTGTTACAGTCATGGTTATCAAATTTGTCATCGTGATTTTCTACTAGCAAGGCGAATACGCAGTTCATATCGTCGAAAATGTTTAAATACTCAAACATGGTGGTGGAGAATTGCATGTTTCCGATTATCGATGAGAAACCGATGAGGTCACTTCACACTGAAAGACCGCGCAGTGCATAAGACCTGGCGCATGACTAAAAAATGCATGAACTAGAAGGTGAGTCCGGGGTTTCCTCGTAGGTGCAAGTTGTCGTTGAGGCATTTTGGCTGCCTATTGCTGCAATATTTAGCTAGTTCGACCCCCTGACATGAAACGTTGTTAATTATACGCTTAATATCCAAAACTTATGATGATCACTTTCGTAAATTCGTGTTTTTTGCTCAATTTTTGAGGTATTGAAATCTCTTTTTTTCATATTTATTGAGTCACACAAACACTAAAGTAATGTCAAGGTGTTAATCAAGCTTTCTTGTGAGTATTGCCAGAATTTTTGCTACGTCATCAAGTCTGGTCGTTAAACTTTCTGTTAATATGGTTTATTATGAGAATGGATACTGATACCTATTAGTAGACTGCTCAATGCAAACTGACACACGTTTGAAGTCAGTCATCGTCATGATATGTATTCCTCTGCTGTAGATGCTTTCCAGATATACTACTTAGTAATGGCAGCCTCACATGTTTTTGTAGACGAAAATACGAGTGATGATCATCTGTTTTATCTTGACTATCTGTCTAAATAATATTCATTTGTGAAGCGTGCACTAATGACATAGGTCACGAGTTTCAGCGATTACAAAATGTGCATTCTATTGTTATATCATTTCCAAACCGCATTTACATTGATGTGAAGGTTCCCAGTTGAAGAAAACAGTCAGTTAAATGTGTATTATTCCTTTTAAAGAAGACCGAGCTGTCGACTAACAGTATGTTTGTTGCTCTTACATCCCACTAAAGTTCAGGTGGAGGAATATATATAGGCTATTGCAACTCACTTTAGAATTAACAACGCTGTTTGCTACCAAGCAGTTAATTTGAAGTACATATTATTATCTGTTCCGTCATTTAAATAAACTTCGGTTATTTTTCTTAAAGTATAGGAGGTTAACCAACTGATATTGGTTTTTGTACCATAGTGAAGATCTAATGTCTCTTTGAATGTATCAACAGGTGCTAATATTACATTTCCTGCTAAAGATTTCCAGTAATTCACTACTTGGCGAGAGAAATGGAACCGCAGACGAAAACGATCTAATCCCGGTCATTGAACTATTTTAGAATGTCCATTCAGATTATTATTACTAGATGAAAAAAATATATGACAAAATTTTCAAAATAATTGCTACGTATAAGGTAAGTCAATATCAGATCACCCCGTAAAGCATGAAGGACGCTTCCTGAAACCCTGTAGTTTCTTTGTCTAAAACGACATTTCCTCCCATATATTCTGAAACAGCCCGCCGAATAATCTTTTCATCAGTTTGACTACACATGTTAGACTAACCGGTTGATATTTACTAAGTCTCTACTCCCAGGTTTGTAGACTGGACTGATAAGTGAGTCTTTTCAATCTCTTCGCAGTTTAGACTGCTCAAAGATATGACAAACAGTCTTGCCAGTTCAGTTTTTATAATTCGGGGATGAATATCGTCAGAGTTAGATCCAAACTAAGGTTTGAACTGAAGAATAGCTGTCTAGGTGGGTTACATACGCGCCCTTGCCCAGATGAAACCAAAACAAAATGACTGAGTAAAACGACGGTTCTGAAATTCATTATAAATTTAAATGTACATTGTTTCCTAAACATATATGACCACTCAGCTATTCAACCAATAATTGTTCAATTAATCAGATTTAAATTACAATAAATAAGGAAGTAGAAAAAGGATGCGAGAAAATTACCAAGCCGTGACCAGTGGAGCTAATCCTTGTCGGGTAGAGACAGTTATCTACTTAAAGACAATGGAAGTGGGTCGCGCAATTTCGTGGATTGGTTGATGTTAGAAACTATCACCATTGGATGCCGGCTCAGTGGTCCAGTTGGTTAAGCGTTCGCGCGCGAGACCGAAGGCCCTGGGTTCGAATCCCGCTCGCGGGATCGTGGATGCGCACTGCTGAGGAGTCCCACAATAGGACGAAACGGCCGTCCAGTGCTTCCAGGTTTTCAATTGTGATGGTCTAACATCAATTGGTTCAAGATCTCAATTAAAAAAATTACCAATGACAAGAAATAATTGTTATTCTATCCTGTCTGGATAGACTACGCACAGATTCGTTCAAAAGATACTATTTGGTTGCTTTTTAACACAGTGTTTCCAATTCTGGAAGAGTGCTTCAATTCACAATCAAAATTGCACAGTTCCGGTCAATACAAGCAAAAAAATCAAAAAAAGGAACAAACTAATATGGCTGCCGCCAAGACTAATTATCAAGTACAACAAGAAAAATGCAGTTCATGAAGAAAAATGGAAACTATAATAAAATACAAATATTACCAACTCAAATAAAATCAAAAAGACTAACAAAATGTGTGACTAAACGAACAACAATACGAAAAACTACAAGTGTATACATGGAGAAACATTCACACAAACATTCAGAATGGATCTTACAGTCAGGACCACTGGATTTATTTGGTTTGAGATGTTAAAGCAATCATATGACAGCTCCTTTCTCAACAGCTACAGGATCGATCGACAAGCGTCATTGCCATGACCATATTCCTATCAGCTACGGTTTTAGCGGAATCGTGTATTGCGAATATTGGCGAAATTTCCCATACCAAATGTGAGATTCCATCACTTCTTTCGATTCGTCTCTTTATATACGAGAACAACCTTTACAGACTATTTTCATAATCCCTTATCAATTGTCTTTTACCTAATTTATCAGTGCCTTGCGATCATTCCTAGTATTACAAAACATTGGTTCGTACTTTTCATAGCCTGTAAAGATAAACATAACACTATGCTTATTCGGTTAATTTTAACATGCAAACTTATTCTGCTTTATGAGTGTTCTGTTTTCTGAGTTGGATCGTTTAATTCATGAGACTTTCACTGTCTTTCAAATAAAACCAGTAAACTTTTCCAAGAAAAATTACGCTATTAGAATTTCAAACAGCTGGATAACACTCGTTCAGTTGATTCGAAATCTGGTACTTTGTCAATGAAAGTTTCAAAACCAAGATTATCCAACTTAAGTATTATCACATTCAGTCAGCTACAATGCAGGACCAGGCACATATATGCATCGGTCCAAGTTGCCACACCGCATTAGCACAATAAGACGAATACTGGATTCATAGCAGTTAACTCAATAGTGTAATATATAAAGGAAAGATTGCATATAAGGATATAGTACAAAAAGAAAGATATGTAGCTACTTTAATCTCTTTGTTTAAGGGAAGACAGAGAGTGTATAAACCTATGCCATTGTGATCGATCCTGACCCACAGTCTCCAACTATTGGTTACGATAGTCACGCGGGCCCCAACCAGGCAGTCGTATCTACCCGACAGTTATTGCTACCCTGACGTGGTGGTAGGGCTTGCCCATTGTGATGAAGCAATTGAGCGATACTGGCTGGAACAACCGTTCCTCAAGGTCCTACCACGCCGGAAAGGTTGGACTAAAAGCAACAAACCTAAGGTCCGAAGGCGAAGTCGTACTGCTGACTGTACGTAGGTGTGAAGGCAGTGAGGTGTTTCCTTCGGACAGTCAGCGTGACAGCGATGCTGCCCTCCCATGAGGAGGGGTGGGGTTAGATAAGGTCGACTCTAAAAATGCGTACCACTTTTTATCCACGGATATCTGTCTCCGGAGATAAGGTTTCATTAAGTACGAAGCTAACACGGAAACTACTCACAGAAAGGTCATGTGTGACCGACCTTAAGCAGTTGTCCCTTGGGCACTGCGGTCACTAATATAATAGCATTTAATCCCCATAACACTCATCCATAAAAATGAGTCAAAACACAGATACACACCAAATATAATAATTTTTATTCATTATATGAATCTATATATACAGTATATTTGACCGTTCATAATTAGTTTTTATCTATTTCTTCTTGCCCTTCATAGTTTCAGGTACACGAAGCTGAAACCGAAAGAATGAACAAACGTAAAGAGAGAACACATAAAGAATTTGGAACTTATTCAAGTGAATAGTTTTTAAAATAATCCCTAAAAAGTGTAACCTATGACTTGAAGTAGATCAGTCAGTTGATGAACTTCACTTGCTGATGTGTGATTGTCATGTTTTTCAGGTGAGCACAATCAATTTATTATTCAATTCAAAATTGCAGAGTTGTTTCGTAACTACTTTATTTGCAAATCCCTCATCAATTGTCTCAAACTTCATCGTCCCATCACTGTAATTACAATTACTATTTGCTTACATTCCCATTCATTTTGATTCTATCTTCTCAAACTTCTGCAACTACTTTTAATTGGTATTAAATACTACTGATAATGGAATCAAAAAATTAGGTAACATTTTAAATTTACTGGTTCTTGATCATTGACTTATGAAATTGATATCTTTCAATTATCTAATACAATTTGATAATGGAGAAAAAATATATAATTTTTAGAGTAGATGGATTTTGGCCAGATGTATTATCTAAGATACATCCAGCTGACGAATTCCAAGTAGGATGATATACATGTATTGCATTTCACTACTAGCTATAAATTCATCCCATTCAATAAACTTGTGAAAAATGACGACATCGAAGAAATCTGCGCAAAATGACAGCATATACCAACAAAGACTGATTATGATTTAGTCAAGATTATCAACCATGTGATTATTCAAATCCTTTGTAGCAAGTCAAGTCGTGGTATGTTCATCATTAATGAGAACTTTTATCTTCCAAATCTCATGTCATTTAACAATAGAGAAAATCTATTCTATTTGCTAGTTATATTGTGTATGGATATTGAAAACAGGGAATGCAGTGAAGAGATTTACTTCCAACGTAGAAAATGACATCGTTAAATCATCTATTTGATACTTAGTTTTGTACCACTGGTGTCTTTACTAATAATACGTTTTGTATTCAATATTATTAAACAATTAAACGTAATATCAGTTCACGAAGTAATTGACTGTCGACACAAGTCTTATTGTTAGTTTGACAAACTTTTAGGTTTCAAGATCTGTGAGATAGTTGTAGCTTACAATAACATAGTTGTACACTTTTTCTAAATCGTGAAATTAGTGTCAATGAGGTTACCATAGGACTGCATCTCCTCATGATGCTCCACTGCCTTGTGGGTCAAGACCTTTAGGTCAAAGGCTCGGGGTGTGGCCCACTAGGAAAACCACCTACTTCGGTTTGGGCACCCGGTCAGTATCACAGCCCTCACACAAATCGGATGATTTATGTGGCGCATATCTACTTAGTGCCTCCTTGTACCAATATCTATGTGTTTAAATAAATAAATAAATAAATGAGGTTGACTTGCTATCGATAAATAATAAATCATAATAATGCATTAGAAATTTTTAAAAAATGGAAAGATTTAACCTACCAATTGAGGTTGAAAACTTTTTCCAGAGTGCTTTGCTGAGTCGAAATTACGCTTAGCATTCTTAGGTGATTTGAATGATTTTTTAGCGTTACGTTTAGCTTGAATAACTGTCATCAATTGTTTGTCAATTTCCTCATCGGAACTATTATTACTATCAGCTGATGAGGCTTGTTCTTCGTCAACGGAAATGATTTGGCTATTATTTTTTAAAGGTGAAGGTTTATTTTTGTTATTAACTGTGTTTTTCTGCTTGGAATCGTTTTTAACCACCTCATCGCTATCTTCAGAAGCATCATCACTATCTGTATCGCCTAGATCTTCCTCATCCTCGTCATCTTCGTCGTCATCATCATCATCATCTACATCATCGTCTTCTTCCTCAGTACCGCTGTCATCTTCATCATACTCGCTAATTTCATCTTCATCGTCTAAATCTTCATTGTCCTCCTCATCATCATCATCGTCGTCATCATCATCATGACCATCGCTATCATCATCATCATCATCATCATCATCATCATCATCTAGTTTACTCATTTCAGATTTGGATTTCTTTTTTGGGGACACTTTTAACATTTTCGATGATACAAGATCATTTAGTACAGATGTTTTACTAGTGGTTGAATGTTTATTTTTGGTTTGATTAACAAGTAATTCATCGGTTTTACTTTCATCATTTGATTCATCACTACCTGATGAGTTAGAATCATTTTCAGATTCAGGTAATTGTTGAACTAAAACTTTTGTATTATTACCCTTCTCTTTATTACCAATATCTTTTGTATTCACTGTTGTTTTCTGAATTACTTTGTTAGAAGTCTTTTCCAATGATGATGATGATGGTTTATTCAATTGTTTCTCTTTCATTTTTTCCAATGATTGATCATTTTTAGATTTGTTAGCCTTTAATTGATTTTCATCATTATTTTGTTTCTGATCTATTACTTTAGAACGAGAAAATATAAAATTGACAAATATTGGTAGACCACGAACAAGTCGTTTATGTGTTGTGGAAAACGCCTCAAGTGATACATTTTCATTGACAAATTTGACAATTGCATAACTTGAAAATAAATAAATAAATAAAAACAAGTAATTAGTTAGTAAATACAAGATAAGTATCAACTTCATAGAATCCCCTCAAAAAAAGGAATTCAATGAAAAGAAAACACTATAAATAATGATATTGATAGAGTTTTGTTCTCTGAACTGGATGGTTTAGTTGTGGAGTTTTCATCGTTCTTCTGAACGACATCATCACCAGCACAAACTTCAGGTATATATATCTGTTAGGGTTTGAAGCTTCACGAGTTCACTTAATCTGCGAACGAGAACAAGACTCAGTGACCAAAACCAGTAATCTAGCTAATGATGTGTTTCAGCCCCGCTACCTAGAAAGAGAAGTTCAAGCTTGGTATGGAAAATAAATTCTTCAAACAGCCAGAAAACGAGCAAGCCCACAAACACAATTTAAAACGTATATATACAAATATACATAATCGATATTGTCATGGGAAATTTTTAAACATTTAATCGATAAGATAAAATTACAAAATATGAGTTTTGTGGATCTATCGTCCCCAACAATATCTATATACATACTATCACTATTTTATTTATTTAAACACATAAACATCGGTACAAGGAGGCACCAAATAGATATGCGCCACATAAATCCACAAGGCAATGGAGAATCCTTAGGAGATGCAGTCCCATGGTATCCGGTGACCAACGATTGGTTTATACGCCATTTGTTCCCGCAGGATACTGGAGCCCATGTGCACCATTGGTTTGGGATCCGGTTAAAGCGCTGGACATGCGCTTTTCGTCCTCTCAATTTCGTAAACAACAGTAATGCCACGAGAAGTCAGTGAGTAGGACTTCCCTGGCATAGGCTATATACGCGTGGCCGTGTGAGAGCATTTCGAGAGGGAGGGCGGGCCCACCCCACTCTCGGCCATACCAGGGCATTTGGGGGCATACTATCACTAAAATTTATTGCGTTCACGTTAGGAACAACTTATTCACAACATGAAGGATGTAATAAGGTGAGATTATTGATCAACATATCATAAAGTGTAGTGGCTGGTATTCATGTCAAGCCCACATAGGTTATTCTAGCTTCTGGGCGAACAAATTTATTTATTCTACTTAAAACTACATTTTGACCTTATCACCTTGTCGCTTATGAATCCTGACTGCTTTTATATGATAGTATGTTAATTGCTTACCCTATTCATTACGTGTCTGTAACTTATTTTTGGTCTAACTGTGAATATTGAGTTACACTTGGTTAAATCGAATTGGCTCATTCGCCTTCTCCTCGATTCCCTGATTGCCAGTCCAGATCAATGAATGTACGAAATATAAGTATTCAAACTTTATTCTCTTTTTTGACTTATTTTATTCCGTTATTAACTAACACGATTGAAGTCGATAATTATTTACGAGGATTGGTAGTATATATATTTCGATAACAATCACCACACAATTGGTCCAGGAAATGAGTAAAAAAGAAATTGCAATGGCAAAAGTGTTTGGAACTGTACCCTTCCGATTGTAGACGGAGATTTCTGTATACAGGCTTTGAGTGAGACTTTCATATGAGGATTAACGTCATAACAGTTAGTCAGTCATCAATGAAGTAGGAACTAACATAGTATTCCACATATCTATGTTGTCACACTATGTTAGTAAAATGAAAGTTAAAATAGATGTATAGCAAAGAAATTTTAGTCGACGGTAATGTTTAACACGTAAACGGTGGATACAATGACTTTGAAAAGATCGAACTGGATGAATGAATAATACTTATAGTTTTGAACCATTGACTAAAAAATTATTTATTTGAACGCATAAATATTGGTACATGGGGATACCAAATACATACGCGCCACACAATAACAATGAGGCTAATAGCAGTTATCAATGATGTGTGTGAGGGCTATGATACTATCCGGGTACCCAGACCGAAGCAGGAAAAAATTATTTAACTGACATCAACTATAAGAATGTAAACTAATTTTCTATAATAGCTTTAGACAAACATTGGATAACTTAAAAGAACTCTTGATACTGTCTTTAAAATGAAACTCAGCTTAAATAAATGAATCATAATTATTTGAATGATCAGTGCTTTAGTGCTATGTTTGAAGCGATTACGAGTTCACGTAATTCGAGAACGGAACGAAGATTATGTGACATAATGACAGAAAGCTAGCTATTCTGATGCGTCCCAACCACGCTAACTAGAGACAGAAATGCAAGTTCGAAATAGGAAAATATATTCCGCAAGCAGCCAGAAGCACGAGCAAGCACAAATCAAACGTATATATACAGTATAAAATTGTCCTTGGGAAGCGTTACAAAATAGCACACTAAAAGATACAACGAACCAGTAGCGTTTAAGATTCTCTCAAGTGAGAAATACGACGTGAAGGTGAACATGAGCACTTTTGACGCGAAAACAAGAAACTCAATTTTTTAAGATAAATTTACGAAAGGTATTTACCAAGTGAGTTCTGGGGATCTAACATCCCCAGCATTTAGCTAATAAGCTAAATGTTTGCAAACAACTATTAAATAATGTACAATGCATACATGATTCGAGTAATTAGTTTTATAATGTATTTTGTATTGTTTAACTGTAGTATCAAAAGTACCGAAAGGTCAATCGATGGCAATTAGAAGTGACCTAAATGTTAAGTGCATTTTATTAGGGTCAATAGGTCAACTTCGTGGTCAATATAGTGGTATATATATGAATGAGTATTTGTGAATTTTATTCAATAGTCTAATACACTTGCTCGCCTAAATAATCAACTGAGGGGGGGGCGGTTAGCGCATAGAATACCATATGACATCACAACAATTATCCATTCACATATGCGATTTATACACTTTCTTTTTATCCGTTATAACAGTTAGTCCATTGATGAATCTAGTGTTTTTCTCTCAGATAAATAATTAGTCGTATACTAGAACAATCAGACTATAATCTTTGGACGACTTTTGAGCAATGTCCAAGTGATCCACTTGCTCACTAGAGTTAAGTAAGGGTTATAAATCAGTTTGAGGATTTAAAACTATGATCTAAAGTTAATGGTTAAAGGTTAGAAACTACATTTATGGTTTTCATCACGAACTGATATAATCTAAAATGCCGAGACGTTACGTTATTAAACCAAGTGGATGAATGGATTCGGTGCTAAAATCTAAAACCAATTATCCTAAATTTGATTGCTTCGTTTATAAATTATAGTCACACCGTTTTTTTCAAAGCATGCTAAATAACTGATCTACTCAAGGATCGTTAGTGCAAAAATAAAATCGAAGAATGACCAATGTGATTGTATTATCATACGACGTACCCGCATGTCATTCCATCTTTGGTCAATGGAAAATCAACAGTGCCTTTTGGAAATATATGTATTAAATCATTTTTAGTTGTTGAACTATTGAAACCAGTCACAAAAAGCTGTGTTCGATTAATATTATCCAACTTTAAGTCACTGATAGGAAATGACAAACGATTAGGTTGGGCAGAGATTGTTTTACCGGCAAATAGACGACCAGATATAGCTTTTCTTGCAGCTTCAGCTGTATCCGCATCGACGTATTGAAGAAACACAAAGCTAGATAGATGGATATATTGAATAAACATAAAAAAACTGGTTAATAACAAATGAAATTGTAAGCTTTTGATGATCACCAATATTTATTTACGGCTGACCGAAATAAATCGACAGGATACACTAGACCTGAGTTTTGTGCTCTAGCACTTTTCAATAAAGCCCACGTGTAATTTTGACGAAACTGATATTACATGTGATTCGAAACTAGTCAGTTACCTCCAAACAATTGATAAATTAACACAGTGGACATAATGTCTAGTCACTTAGACTAATGATTATATTGAGATTTAATCGATATAATTCGACCAATGCTTAAGAGATTGACAAACACCATTGGTCACTACTCAGTGTTTAATCAATAACTCCTGAAATAACCACGTCAATAAGAATGTAGGTTGTATAGATCAGTAATTCATGACAAAACATTCCTAGAAAAGGTAAGGATGTGTTGTTGTTGTTTTATAGCCAAATAGATGAATACATATGAATTTAGTTCTTTGATTTCAAGTATTAAGAACCTTTGAATTATCTTTGAAAGATCACAAATCAGTCCTTTTTATGTTTTAATAAAGAAACATTGACAGGTTTTAATTAGCTCCTTTAACATAACCATTGTGTTTTGAATGTTTCGTAAACTTAAAATGATAAGTTGAAACTTTATAGCAGCATTTGAGGTAATTAACGGAGAACTAATGCTTGTTATAGGAAACTATGATTTATAAAGTATTTCAGTGACAATATTTCGCTTTACACTAGATGTATTATAAACTGATACTATTTGATTGAATATATATTGAAAATCTGTCAATACTCTCTCAAACCTTTTTGTTGATAAACTTGGTGTCAAGTCACAAACAAACATGATACCCACTAACCTTGAAGAGAGACTTTTTCTGAAGGATGAACAGCATTTGCATTCGGTATTAGTTGTCTTACCTGTTGGGTCATGCAAAACTCAGATATGAGTTGTTTAATTTAACACACTAAATGTAACTTTCTGCACTTCACTATGAACTGCACAATTGGTCTATATAGATAACTAGACCGTGACATGATTAAAATCGGTAGGTTGATCGGAATTGGATATTCAACATTTTAGAGGATAATAAATGAACGCATCTGCTTAACTACAACCTAATTATTCACCAAATAACATAGACTGATAATCAACAACTTCATGATTCGGTCACTCGTAGCTATCTTCCAATCTATTCCGACATCAACTAGCATTTTCCATCAAAACAGATGGCGGTTTGACATGGGTAACACATCTGTATTAGTTGATAAAGCTTTATAACTTCACTAACTGAGTAACTATTAGCATCTCGCACCTCATAGTTAAACATAGCAATACTCATTACATGTTTCTACCAAATGAGACGAATGCTTCGAAAACGTGATTGAATTACCGTGTAACCTACCATTAAGGTCAAACTTTACAGTCATAAAATCAGCCGGATTACTGTCATACAATTTTATACTACTCACAAACCTATACTTAAAGCTTGCTTTATCGTGAGAGTAGTTACAAAAAAAAGAAATTACTCGGAAATACATTCACGCGTGAATAAAGACTTACCTTCGAATTTCTTTATTTCGCCTTATTGAAAATCGATATGACACCATACTCGGTGACAATGATTTCAGCATAGACTCGCTATGATTCGGTGGTAATGGACTCACATACAACGTAGCAGATGAAAGTTCAACTAGTGAGACGAAAAAACCAAATTAAATGTAGACGAGTGAACATGAGCATACACAGAACACATAATTCGAAGAATAAAGTTCCATTAATCACACGAAAATATGTTTATTTACATGTAGACTTCAAAGTGTCTTACAGCAACATATAAATTATATAGCTCTGTTATTCTACATACATGATACGTTTGTAGCAAATCACTAACAAAAATAACTTGACAATTTGGAAGGATTATATGGATTTGAGGCATGTATTTATTTATTTATTTAAACACATGAACATTAGTATAAGGAGGCAGTAAATAGATATGTGCTACGTAAATCATTCGATTTGTGTGAGGCTTGGAATACTATCCAGATACCCAAACCGAAGCAGATAGTTTATTAAGGGGCCACACCCCGAAACTTTCACATAAAGGTCTAATCCACAACGCAGTGGAGCAACGTCAGGAGATCCAGTCTCATGGTAGCCGGTGACCAACAATAGGTTCATACGCCATTTGTTCCTTCAGGATACTGGAGACCATGTGCATTATTGGTTTAGAATCAGGGTTTTCCAACTCCACTAAATGGATCCTTTATATCCACCAACCCGCTTAAAGAGTTAGACTTTCGCTTTTCGTCCTTTCAATTTCTTAAACAACAGTAATGCAGCGAGAAGGCAATGAGTAAGACATCTCTGGCAGTGACTGTATGCACGTGGCCATGTGAGAGCATTTCTAGAAGAATAACTAACTCTCTCCATTCTCCGCCGTACAGGGGCATTTGGAGGCATCATCCTAAGTTATTAAAAATTCGAGAAAAGTACTATCAATAAATCTTGACATAGACAGATTAATTTATAAGCATAATTGGACGGAGTTCCAAAAAAAGGACAAGGTTAATGAAATCACGGATATCATAAGATATTTCATATTTGACTTTTTAGATAGAAGTTAACTTGATCACTGTTAATTAATATAGTAAGACTACAATCTATATCTTTACCATCATAACTGAGAATTGAAATGGTTCGAGAAATGTGGATTGATAAATCTATATTATGCAACTAACAGTATATGATCAGATATTTTCTTAATTGTCTTATAATATTATGCAATGTATATTTATACATTCATAACTTACTTGCACGTTTTTTGACTTCCTCAATTATAATAGATTCATTTGTCCAATTATAAGACACAGACACTTGATCATCGTCTTTATCAAGAGGTTTTACGGTTGATTGCTAAATAAAGAGAATGAAGAACAAAATTACAAGCAAAAAGCAACCCGACTAAATGGGAAATTTAATATGTGGGTTAGGATTAAGATATTAAAAAAACTGGCGCAGAGCAGAAAATTATTTCCAAGTTCAGATTCGTAAATTTGAATTTTTTTCATTCTCACAACAATTATCGAGGGATAAGTCTACTTCCGATTGCGTCCAAACTACTGGCTTACGTCATACTTCTTAGATTATTCTAAACCCAAAACTGAATCACGAGGAGCAGGTCGGTTTTCGTCCTGGTCGAGGATGTACTGATTATACTTTTGCCCTCCACCAATTGTTAGAACACCGTCATACTTATTACAAGCTGACAATTGTGGTGTTTCTTGACATTAGAGCCGCCTTTGATTCGTTGGACAGAACTGTTTGATGGGACTGTCTATTGAATGAAAAAGAGTGCGCCTGAGAAGTTTATTAACATATTGAAAGCCCTACATACTAACACCTCAGGAAAAGTGAGAGCATACAACCACCTCTCTTCATTGTTCAACTCAAGCAAAGGGGTTAGATAGGGTTGCCTAATCTCGCCATTCCAAGACTTTGCTATCGATAACGTCTTCGAAACAGCTCTGATGGATGTAGGTAATGGTGGTTTAGATCTTTTGCATGGAAAATAACTTTTCGACCTTGGGTACGCGGATGATATTGTCTTACTGTGAGATGATACCCAAGCCACACAATCCACACTTAATCAGTTGGCAATTAGTGTCCGTAGCTATGGTATGTGTTTTGCACCTTCGAAGTGCAAAGTACACTCACTCTGGGTAGTGAGCATATAATAGTCGAGAAGTTCGTGTGTCCGGGTAGCTGCATAAGTGCTGGTAGTGGCGTGAGTGATGAGATCAACTCAGGTATAGTGTAAGCCAGAACGACTTATACCAATCTGGGCCATCTTTGGTACCTTCGTGATGTTAGTCTGGCTGTAAAAAGTCAGATCTACAACGCGTCGGTGAGAGCAGTTTTGCTCTATGCTTGTGACACCTGGCCTTATCGAGTTGAGGATGTTAGACGACTCACTGTGTTTGATCATCGTTGTTTCTGAAGGATTTCTGACATCTAGTTGCAACACCATGTTAGCAATGCAGAGGTTCGGCATCATGTGTTCGGACAGTGATGATAATTCAATTAATGTCACTAACTTGAAACATCAACTTCGGTAGTTTGGACATGTTCTACGAATGTCTTCACAGAGAATTTCACGTCATGCATTATTTGCAATGTTGAATACGACACAAGATTAAAACGTGTAAAAATGTAAAATATTTTCAAGCTATCAAAAGGTTTATACCAAATCCATTAAACAATAGACTTTGTAACGTTAATCAAACCTAATGAAATTTTATAATCATTATATTAAATTGTGAATAGATTGTTGTGTAATCAAAAGATGCAAATTGTTTTCAATCCGTGATTGACTTTCTGTACAGATGAACCATAGTTCAGTAACCAAATGTAATTCATTCATAAAAGCCGAATAAATATATTTAATAATAGTAAAATGTGATTGAATTATATACAGTGCTTTATTATTGAGGTTTTGTAAAAATCGATGTGAACTTCTGAAACTTAATTATACAACACAAGCAAAACGTGGTTACACGGTTTATAACAGACTTTTCAAGAAGGATTGAGAAAGTTCTAACGTTCTGACAGTTCTCATAACTCATGAAGTAAACAATATGTGGTATAATAAATGAGAAGATGAATTACATGGAAATTTTTCGTGGTCATTAAGATCAAGTAAACTAGTTTAAATAGACTTTTCAGATATGTTGTTATTTAAGAAAGCTACTGTAGCGATATTGATGACAGCATTTGACGTACATATCCGGTTGGGACATACATAAGTCTACATGAATTAGGCGACTGAGAAAACCTGTTACCAAGACAAGGTATTTAGCAAGAAATTAAGAAGCATAAGTGACAGAAAGAATGAGTATAATTAGCGAAGAAATATACTTGATCAGTTCACATACAAACTTGATTTCTAGTCAATGTTTCAGACCAGAGATTCGATTTATTCTATCTCAAATTGGGCAGTATAACTAATTATAACATAATTTTCCCACGTAACCCAATATAATGATTACCATTTATAAAAATTAGCAAATAATAATTTCCTTTTAATGATCCAAATAATGAAAACTTGCAGAAGAAGAAAATTACCTTTGACTCTCCAACTATTTTCATTTTCTTTGCGGACGTTGGAGTGTTTTCAACAGATTCTAAAAAGACAATAAGCCGACGGTAAGTTTAATTAAACAAACGGACGAAATATGTAAAGTATATTGATTATAAATATTGGTTACTTGGATTTTCCCGTTGATGTTTAGGACTACAATTGATCAGTCACTTTTAGTATATGTGGATCCTGTGCGGATTGTCTTGATATTGCCAGTAAGTCACAAACATTTTAGGTAGAGATGAATGGTGACTGGCGGTGGATTTCAGAACGCGCGTTTCGTTCCATCTGGAACTCGAACCCAGCACTGTTTGGCTTAAACGCCGTCCCATTACTCACTTAGCTACTGAGTACAGATAACCACTGGAAGATTCAAATAACCAACGAACGTGAACTAAAATTTACTCTGTTGCATAACCCAGTGGCTATCTGAACTCCATAGCTAAGTAGACAATGAGATGCCGTTAGAAGCAAACGGCACTGGGTTCGAGTTACAGAGTGCAGGTACATCTAGCTGGCGAATACCAAATAGAACGAAAGGCGCGTCCAAAATTCCACTATTAGCCATCATTCATCTCTGCCTAAAAAGTACATTGCGTTAGTTTAAAAGACTAAAAAGTGGAACCGCACTGAAGGCACTTTAAGCGGTATGGATTTTTTATGCATTCAATACGAATTAGCTACACGTACTACAAACGTTGTAAATTTGTCAATGCTTGAAGCGAGAACTACGGTTCGGTGTAAAACATAAGTTACCTAATGTCTCCGACCGCAGATCGCGAATCTGGCCCGGATCGACAGTCTTGAGGGAATTAAAAAACTAATGTTACGTTTTGGTCTAGCTGACCCCAAATATGTTCCAGCCTACTCCAGAACCAATGTCAGTTGGAATAGGTGGTCTCATCTTGCATACAGTTTGAAAGCAACAATATTTGAAGAACCCTTTAAAGTAAGGGAATAGTGAACAGATATTTGGCTTTACTATGGGTGTTGATTCAATTGATGCAAGTTGAATCTACTTTAAAACTGTATTTAGTAAACTAATATTGTACAGAGAACCTTGTTTATTGTATAATGAGTGGAGCTCTATAAATACAATTTGACAAAATTCAATAACTAGTACTGAGCAACTGTTTACTGAATCAATTTACTTCAGATACTTAACAAACGATCAGCAACAATGAAGTCAACTAAGACAAAGCGACGTAAGAAAATTGCAGATCTTTAGAAAATACTCAAGTATTTAAGCACTGCGTGCACATCCTGAACATCCTGAGTATTGGAATCGACCAGCGAATACATGAACACTACTGAGGTGTTCCAAATAAAACGAGTTATTCGAGTTCCACTAGTAACGGATAGGTTTCTATCTTATTTCAGTTCGAGATTGAATATTCGACAATCGAAATGTGTACAAAACATACCACGAGTTCGTTTTAAAGGTTTCTTTTTCGGACCACTGATTTTTTGTTTTGAAGTATCCTTAGTCATTGGTTTCTTCTGAGATTGTATCAGAGTATTCAGCTCATTTTCGCTTAACTCTTCATCTTCATCTTCTTCAGATTCCTCAAGGTCATTGTCTGAAGACCCTGAATCACTTTGTTCATCATCATCATTGGAATTAGTGAATGATCTTGTGACATTTTCTTCACTTTGCCATTGTTCATCATCGTTATCTGAATGGTCGTTTGCACTTCCCCAGTCAGCTTCAATAGGCTCAGAATCACTCTCACTGGATGCTTCACCAAACCCGGCTCGTTTTTTGTTTGTTATTTTCACATTGGAATTTGTTAAAACAGAAGCTTTCTGTTGTTGTTGTTGTTCTTTTAAAAATCTTCGCTTTTTACTTTTTTTACTCTCATTGACTTTTATAGAAGGCATGTTGGATATGATTGAATTTGTTCCTTCTAAGTTCTTTTTAAGCTTCTTGGCTTTCTTGCGTCTTGCTCTTTTGTTTTGTGAAGTAGGAACTAAAGGAATAGTTTGACTTTGTTTCTTTTTATTTCTGCCCTGAAAGTAAAAAATCGCAATTTTTACGAACAATAAAGATACGTAATTCCTCATGGTAAACAGACATAACGCATAATAATAATAATAATAATAATAACACGCATTAGCTTAGTTATGTATTTGTTTCAGCTGTCACACTTCGTGTGGATAAAAAGGGAAGAAGTTTACAAATCTATAGAGAGCATGTGCATCAGCCACATCCGTTGATGAAACTACATTAATAGGTTAATGTAGGACTAAACGGTGATCGTAAGTACGCTCAAGAGTGAAGGAAATTTACTTTCCTTGATGATGGTGCTTGAGTCGCGTGAAACCATACTTAAACTCCGTCAGATGTTGCAATTTCGTTCCCATCTGAGGTTTGTTGGTCAAATTTGGTGGATTATGGATGCAGCGATGAGCATTTAATGTACGAAACATCATGAAGTTCATGCAAACATTATTCATACTTCGCAACATTTGTTTAAAGTATTTTTACAGGATATGCAGTAGCATGTCTGCACCAACTTTAAGTATAAATTTTCTAAACATTACGAAATATATAAATAGATAGCAAAAAATTAATGTCCGAATCAATGATGAGAAGCTTCATAGGACGTACTCCTAAAGAGTTAGTTGTTTCGTTAAAAATCTAGATGTCATCTCGAATACAATGCCCATAGTATGAAAAATAACGGAACTAATAAAAAAACAGAAAGACTACATAGTTTAAGTGTTCCTTGGATGAGGGAAGAAAGAATACAGACGTATTAACATATCTTGAATACACCTGAAAGTCACATATTGTCAGATCATACCGAAAATGAAAGCGTATCATCAAATTTGCTGTAAGTAACCAACTTACTAGCACTCTCCTAATTGCGGCAAGGAGTACTAAAATGTTTGTCGAAGCTGAATTCAACAACTTAATTGGAGTTGAGGGCGTGTATATGCAACAATGCAGGGCGATAATCAGTGATGAGTGTTGAATTGGAACACTTCATCCACATTATTTCGTGAAATAATAATGTGAGTAATGTAATTACAACGACTACTGTGTTCAAGATATAAAACATATTTTAAAAAATACAAAAACGGACGAAAAAGCTAAAAACCACCGCGAGATAACTATGTTGCTGTAAATGGAGGGTGAAAACTCAATGAGAAGTTATCTCATGTGGAAATCACCTAAATGATATCAGTATATGGCAGCTACTCCAAGTCTTCTCCACAAACACAATAATGAGAATTTTATTCTGTAACACTAGTTTTAACTAAGTTGTTTTTGGTTGATCAACACTAATAGTAATTCTGTTTGAGATCGTTGAGTTTTATGTGGTTACCTATAGTACATGGTCATAGAGTGATCTAAACTGCTGACAAAGTACACATTAATGTGTACGGCTATGAGATACAAGGTTTGTGATGGCCAGTGGTATTTCCCAGTCGTTGAAACCGAGGCCCTACCATGGGTCGAACTTGTAACTAACTGATTGGAATTCAAGCCCTGAAAATTAGACTACCGAACTACATTGTGGTTAAGTGTATAATCGACTTAGTTTGAGAGTAGTTAATGAGAACGTTAATCAGTTAGAAGGCATACTGGAATACTAGTTCCCGAAAGAAGCTCGTCTAAATCTAAAGGAACTGATGCTGCAACAAAATTACTTGAGTCTAAGAATTACTCTGGGTATAACTCCTGCCACAACACAAACGATATCTGTTTTCAGACGTAACTCGTACGATTAATGAAGCCATTCGTCTATAGCGGTACATTAGCAAGTTAGTAAAATCTATTAAACATACCAAATATTTGTAGACAATAATTATTAAAATTCGAGTAACTCAAAGGAACAACGGACCCATTTACATTTATTAATCCAGCCTGTAAATCCACATTATCTTGATCAACTTGTTTATATCAATGTGGATGACAGTGCACTAAGGTTATTTAGCTCAATTAGAAGTGATTCAGTAAACCTTGGATATCAACAAGCAACTTCCACGTGTTGTATATCCGTTGTGAAGAGTCACTGCGAAATCAAGCATTGGTTACGAAAAGTAGCACAAACACGACTGAAACGTCTGGTTCCCTATACTAGCGGGAACTAAATGAAGTAATGGAATTTTGTTGACAATTGTATAAGAATTCAGAGTTGCATATAGCCAAAATCGGCGAGACTCTAATTTAGCGACGACCTTTGAACGAATCTTAAATGACCTTGACAATTATTAGCCAATCAGAAGACAGTTAGTATAAAGTGAGAATATATTGTAAGTAATGAATTACAGTGGATATTCTTCTTTTACATGATTTAAAAACTTGTTAAGGTTTGATAAAGGTTCAGAGGCTCTGAATTGATAATGCATATGGTATAGAAACTCGTTCATAGGGTTAGTGGTTGTGGCTGTAGCCTAGGGTTAGGGTGCTAACATCCGATCAGTTTAGAACGGATTTTAGAGGTTAGGGTTAGGGGTGAGGGTTTGGGGTTATGGTTAGAGTCACGGTGGGGTTGAGGCCTGTCAAAAAACACCTCTTCCCTAAAATACGATGTAAACCGATCGCATGTTAGCACCCTGACCTTAACCTAAAGCCTAATCTAACCCTAACCCTAACCCCTAACCTTAACCATAACCCTAAACCCTAATCTAACCCTAACTCTAAACCCCAACCTTAATCCTAAACCCTAACCTTAACCTAACCCTTAATCCTATGGACGAGTTTCTATACAATATGCATTATGAATTCAGAACTTCTGAGCATTTATCAAACCTCAACAAGTTTTTAAATCATGTAAAAGAAGAATATCCACTGTAATTCATTACTTTCTTGTAATATATTTTTACCTTATACTGTCTTCTGATTGGCTAATAATTGGAATTGCTCAAACGCTTCTCATTGGCTCGTCCCTAAATTAGAGTTCCACCGTCCCATCTGTTTTAACGTCTCACTAAGCACCTCCTCTTTAAAATCCGCTGTGAACCGACCGTATGTTAGCATCGCATGTTGAACTTGGCCCCGTGACCTTGAAATTGCTCAAACGCTTCTGATTGGCTCGTCGCTAAATTAGAGTCTCGCCCCAAAATCTAGTCATATTGATTTAGTGAGGTCTTCTTTGTTAATACTAATATTACTGCCCTAGTATCACAACTATCAGACCTCGTCACGAAGACAGCTTTTTATTGGCTTACGTTTATTAACCCTCAGGGAGAATAGGCTGCCAACTATAGATCTCCAGCTGTCTTGAGTTCTATCATTTAATTCGTACTTTTGATGTGTCTGCAATTTCTCTTGAGCTAGAAGCTGGTTCGTTTTTCGATATTAGGTTGTTCCTGGTGCTATTTGGCATATAACTACCACCACAGAACTCTTACTCATTACCTCGCGGCATTATTGTTGTCTAAGAAATCGAAATGACGAAAAGCGAATGTCTGACTCTTTAAGCGGGTTGGTGGATATAAAGGATCCATTTAGTGGAGTTGGAAAACCCTGATTCTAAACCAATGATCCACATGGTCTCCAGTATCCTGAGAGAACAAATGGCGTATGAACCTATTGTTGGCCACCGGCTACCATGAGACTGGATCTCCTGACGTTGCTCCACTGCGTTGTGGATTAGACCTTTATGTGAAAGTTTCGGGGTGTGGCCCCTTAATAAACTATCTGCTTCGGTTTGGGCATCTGGGTAGTATTCCAACCCTTACACAAATCGAATGATTTACGTAGCACATATCTATTTACTGCCTCCTTATACTAATGTTTGTTTAAATGATGATAATAATAATAAAGAATAAAAACAGCCTGTAGATGACAACCTAACTAGAGAACTAGATAAGTAATCGCTCAAAATCGCAAAACCTCTCGATTTCAAGGTTAAACAGGATCTTACTGAACGTTTCCGCTCGACTTTCTCAATAAGATAGATTGCGGCTGTTCAAAATTGTGGTGTCTGTCCAGTATAAACAAGTTTAGTAAGGAATTTATAGTGACTTACTAAGAACTTGTGCACAAATATTAGGGCCTACAAATATCATTCATGACAGGGATGTTAATACTTTATGTCTATTAATTGTTAAAACTTTAAAATTTCGAACCTTTTGCAGACGTAACTGCCTGGGAAATAATAAGTAATGACGTCCAAAAAATTCAACCCCAAGCTAATTATGATTATTCAGTTCGTTATTTATCCCCAAAGTTGAAAGGTGAATTGCAATGTGCTAAGAAACACCGGTAACAGGGATTCACCAGTACTCTACCCATGGAATAACTTTTCTATAAATACAACGCAAAACTAGAGAGATAATTTGAAGATGATATTTGAAGAGCACTCATTGCTAATGAAGAGTTTTGAGAGTTACAATGACTTCGCAGAGCCTTCGAGTGCTCTGATAATATCTCGACTTTTATACCTCTAACATGAACTACCTGCAATGCCAGCGTATCATAGTGCAGGCACTAATAATCTTGATGTCCACTAGTAACCAGTACACTTTCGAAAGCACATACCTTTCGCGCATACAGGAACACAAAAACTTAGTAGTGACAGTAAGTCGTGACTTAAAAACAACTGTGAATTGCAACACAACAACCGCTAAAGTTTCCGAGCATTACGGTAACTTCGCTGAGCATTTCAATGCTTTGACGAGAGGATATTTCGAAGAATATATACCACCTATGTAAAACCATAACCACAAAACTGTATCCAAACAGCTAACCCATGTCTTAATAAGGATAATAACACATTAGGGCGTGGGAACAAAGTTAGTGAAAAGTCTAACAACTTCCCTTATGATGAGCTCTCACAACGCCTGAAACTTTTCCCCGTATATTATTGTAGAAGGCGGAGTGATGTTGTATAAGAATTACGAACCATTTATAATGATAAAGGTATCAAAATATTTAACGTGTTTGCTCCCCCAGAACTAACCATCTCCAAGATCACAACAAGGACTCGAAAACCGAAATCTAACAAACTCAGAATGACGTTTCATTTCCCTATAGAGCAGTAAATGACTGAAACGCCTTAACCAAACAAGTGGTCTCAGGCCCATCAACGAGCATTCATGGGAAGAAGCTGAATCTTTACTGGAAAACCGGCTACAAGGATTAACAAACGTTCAGCTACCTACTATCCCTAATGCTGATTGTACGAAGTTACTAACAGAACCTTTCGACCAATAATACAATAAGTAAGAAAAGTTTCCACTGAAAATGACAAATCTCGAAAACGTCGAAGAACATAGCACTCACCATTATCGCGTGTAATATCAAATAGAGCGCTGCGTGCAAATGGCCATTCTGACTGTTCGATTCAATGTTTTACCGGTCAATGGCATATTGTTTTTTCAAATTCACTTAGGTAACTATTGACAACCACATCACCGGACATTTGAACTAATGGAAGGCAAAGTTAGCAAAATCGGTTTAGAAGTCCCACTCTGCAATTATGTAGCAAGCGATAAGATCTGGTAAGTCTTGGTAATTGCCTAATGTTTTGAAGGCGCGATAACTGCGTTAAGGAGGCGAGCGCATCTAAAGCATGGTCCAAGAATTGGAGCTTCCTTACTTTAACCCCCCGGGAGCTTCTAAAAGATGAAATCCACGAGCTGATTGATCCGAACAGAAAACCGGTTGAAATCCCGCAATATTTGAGAGTTGCTGAAGCAGTGCCTATCTCAGCCTACATAAAAGTGGAACCTTCACCGAAGCCCATCCCACAAACAACAAGTAGAATGATAGGATGGAGATCTGGACTGCCCCAGTATAAACTAGACAAATATGAAGTAGCGAGAAGACCTCAAGGCTCGCTTCTTAAGCGGTTTAACTGGCCAATAGAAGCTTTATATTGATGTTAAAATTGACTGATGTAGAGGATTGGAAGCGCCAGTCTCATAAGTCCCTGAGAGAGACATGTAAAAAACTGTCCTTCGTACGTAAAAGTACCATGCTTCCACTTTTTCCATAGTTCAAACTTGACACTGAGGCTCACTAAAAATAATACTGCTTCTATGACAGATTTTTGATGTTTCTTAGATGTGGGGACCTCGTCTTTTAAAATAAATCATTGAAGTTCGACATAAAAGCTTAAGTCAGACTGCTCTTTGGGCTACAATTTTTAGTTAATTCCAAGAGAAATTATAGACCGACTGACCTATATGTTCTATGCGGAATATTATGAAGTTACAATCTAAATGGTAATTAGAACCTTATTTTCATTCTGAGTGAGAAAGAGAAAAACACATCGTTCAACTACTGACAAAGTATTCCATACATTGAAAATAGACTAAAAGCATGCCGTTTAACCAGACGAAAGCTCATAAACTTTCAAAACGTTTATTTACTACAAACTTTATGTGATATATCAATCCTGTATTTAATATGAACACCAACTAACTGTACTCTATAATAAGCTTCATTTAATAAACGTATAATATGTATCCTAAGACAGTATAAAACCCTTAAACTGTCTTGAGAATAAAGCTGAATACATAGACACCCAGCGCAGCTTAAATCCTGAAACATCTTTTTATCGTATGAGTATAAACCAAGGTTCAATGAAGCACATTAAAAAGAGGATGCACCATAGAAATCTTATATCTTTATACCTCATTTGTTATGAGTAAATATTAGACTTCACAGTTAGTATTCGAAAATGATATACTGACCACTTCAAAAAAAATGAAATCTCATGACTTTATTGACAATACTGATTCCAGCTGAAGTATACCAACATCACAAGCTTGCCAGATATCTCGAAATATAAACCCAACGACTTGCCCTTAGACCAAAACAAACAGAACTATCCGATTGCTTATATGTAATATCAAATAAGTGAAATTCTGTCAGACTTTTTGGTAGTTATAAAAGAAACTACTTCAGATACGTCAATAGGACAAATAAACCATGCTTCTCAAAATTCTCTTACATAAGGGATAGGTATCTGTTGATATGGGTTTACACATACAAATATACTATGTGACATGCATAACTCCATTTCCATTATTGACTAAGTGATAAATGGAATCGCTTCTATATTTGAATAGTGTATTCTATGTCATTCAAAACCAAAATACTTAATATATATAATGAAGGAGCATGAGGATAATTGATCTCTGGATGTTATCCATAGGGTTCAACTATACTGAGAGTAGGGCAGTTGTAGCAGATAATAATTATTTTGAATACTATTCCTATATAGTACAATTGGATTAATTAGTACATGAGAAACCCTCTTGTCTAACAACACCCCGGCTAACTACAACACACGTATATGACAAAGAAATACATAATTTGAAGGATATATTTACATGATAATTTATGTCAATCTGTAAAATACTATCAGTTCTTTCAAACTTTTTTGGAAACACATGAGATGATCGGTTTAGGTCGTGTTTTAAACAATAATTTACGCCGAATAACAGAAACGATATCATACTGTAAGCTTCCAGATGTGGTGTTTCTTTTTGTGACAAGCATAGGCTTTTCAAGAGCAACTACTTTCCCGAAAAGTACATGATGACCAATAAGGAGAACTGGATCGCCATTCTATAAAATGAATATTAAATAGGATAGAAAGAAATAATTAACTAACCTCTCGTGAAAAATGCAGATCGCCTAAATTTTTCCCTGCTAATGGACTATTTGTTTTACTTAAAACATCACCTTGTAACTCAATCATTAGCCACTCACTCACTTCTCCACTAGAAAATAATACTATAAAAAGATGTATATGATTTACTTTGGTCCATGGATAGGTATAATCATATTCGACGGAAAACTTGATGGTTCCTGAAACACAGAATCTAATCGATTAAAAAAGTAGTAACCAGGGATTTATAACTGAAAATTCCTAATAAATCTAATACGTTTATCTCCTAAAACACAGTCGTATTATAAAAATCCACTGCAGCTTAGAATTAATACATAGTATATGAAGGTGTAGTTATTCAAACTAAACATCGATCGTGAAACAACGTAACACCTTAGTGGTTAAAGTTTACACAATCTAGAGTGCATTGACAGGTTAGCAAAAATTAAACTGATACTAAATATTCTTACGATGATTTTAAGAGTAGTTGTGAGCCAAGAAATTCAACAAGATACTAATCGAAACCTAGACATAATTTATAGTGAAGTTATTCACAGACTCATGTGCTGACCAAACCACCATGAGGCTCTTTTTATCTCTTTGAACTAGCTAACGTAGGTTGTAGTGTGACGAACCTTACATATGCTATTCAGTGTATACCCATAACACCAAGTACTTCACAATTTAACCGGGTTTATATAGACTCAATAGATATGTTCCCAGTACCTCAGTCAACGAAAACTAGATGGGAATCTGGAATCCATCCTGAAGCTTCTATTAGGTTTTATGCAATCTACGAATGAATTATTAGTATGACTAAATATTTTCCACATGCGATCAGCCAAAATTGTCTTTTGAGAGGAAAAAATTAACGAGCGATTGTACCGTTTGGTTCAAAACTTCATAAAACATTATTATTTTAGGGTAACTACTGAGTACCCTTAAGTAAACGGTGTAATATATTTCAATTAAACGACTTTTGAATAAGAATTTAAACTCCTAAAAGTCGAGAGGTGAGACCTACTTATGGCTAAAATTTATGAATATAGTGAAATCAAGAACCACTAACAAACATATTGATATAGCTAGACAAGATAATAGCTCTCTATGAGGTTTTTAAGACTTAGCCTTTAATAAACCAACCTACAGTATTATTATACACTTCAATATCAGACTACTATACGAGATACAACTAAAGATGTTTGGTGTCACTGATTATTCTTTATCGCCAACCACTAAATGTGAGACCTGTCTCAACTGCTAACAAAAGTAACCAGACCTGACAACAAGACATCAAAAGGACACTATCGAGGTAAAATAAAGCATGGGAGTCGAAATGATAGTGTCATTAGGAGTCAAAATGTAAGACTGGAGATAGGGTCTAAAAGAAACGAATTAAATCAACAACGAAAATAATGAACCTCGAAATTTGTGTGAGAGTAAAAAAAGAAAATAGCTATGACATTAGAGCCTGTGTTGGGCCGTTTCGCCAATCAGGCTAACAGTCAACTACTTTAACGATTGATGATGTATCCGTTTGGCTATTATCAGTCCTCTTTCGATTTGCTACTATGATGTCTAGTCTGATGTGATGAGGTACGCGATGACTAAATATGCGTGAAAAATCCCTGAACAGATAATGACTGGATAGTTAGAGCACCCAGAGTCCAACCACTAAATAGCAGGTTTCAAACTTACAACACCTACTTGGTTTGAGCTGCTAGGTATTCTTACTACCTCTCACATAAAAAACATCTAAGAGTAGAGTAAATATACGTATATTTGATAAGTGAATTCTTAAACACTTTATTCAGTAAAAGTTCATGATCTCATGGGTCAATTCATCATATCTCGTAATTTACATTAACACGAGATGATCAGTGGTTACATTTCCCGTGAAATATCTCAAAAACATATCAACAATTTAAGAAAACTAATGCAGGTATTCTACTTTCAGAAGCAATGTTTTGAATCCTGTCAGAAACAGCCCGTTTGAATTTACTTACCTTGTTCATTGACTACATTTCTCTGGCAAGTAATTTCAACTTTAGATTATAGATAAGGCTTTAAGGGAGGCCTCTTCATAATTCAAATAAATAGACATAAACAACATGAAATTTGCCACATACGATTGTTAACTACTGTTGAAAATTCAAATAAATACACCTTAAAGAAACTAACAAACAAATGAATATTCAATTCTTCTTGGACATCAACTTTCTTGTCTATTGTATGAGGTAGCATGTCATCATGCCTGTTTGCTGAACAGCTTTTTACAAGCAATAAACATCCGATTTTTATTTTATTTATTTTAACACATAAACATTGGTACAAGGAGGCACCAAATACATATGCGCCACACAAATCTCATTTGATTTGTGTGAGGGCTGTGATACCGCCTAGATGCCCAAACCGAAGCAGGTAGTCTTCTTAGGGGGCCACACCCCGAGCCTTTGACATGGAGGTCTGATCCACAAGACAGTGGAGCAACGTAAGGAGATGCAGTCCCATGGTAGCTGGTGACCAACGACTGGTTCATACATCATTTGTTCCATCAGGATCCTCGAGTCCATGTGCACCATTGGTTTGGAATCAGGGTTTTCCAACTCCCCTAGGTGGACTCTCCATGTCCACCAACTCGGTTAAAGCGCAGGACGTTCGACCGAGAAAGCGGACTCTCCCGACTCTCGGACGTACCAGGGCATTTGGGAGCCATACTTTCTATGACAGCTAGCTA